CTATGTGGTTCCCCTCTGTCAGTGATAGACTTGGATTGCTTTAACTATTCAGACATAGGGATAGTTGAGGAATGGGTTACGGAAAATTGTTTTTTGGGCAGGTAAGTAAAACAACAACAGAAGTTTTTCTGAAGCCGAAGACTGTTATTAGTAATGACAGACATTTTCCCTCTCTTCTTAGGTGCCTGAATTCTAGTAATATTTCTTCCATATTTTACAGCTATGCAATGAGTAGAGAATTTTGCCATCAGTACACGGTGAAAAAGGCTGCACAATATGTTTGTATGAAGGTACGATATCCTTGGAGTATAGCTTAAGTGAAGCTGCATGCAGAGGGGATCAGAGAGGTAAGAAATTCTTATTTTAGCCATATTAAAGTCAATATAAACACTGTGTGTCCTGGTGTTGTAAATATATGTATGAAAACAATGAAAGGTTGGGGTAGATCTCTGAACAAACCCAAAATAACCCACCACCTGTGCTTATGTATTATGGATACATTCTACATTGCTCTGTGGCACCAAACAGTACCGTCGACATCAAATGAAGTTATGAATTCCATTCATATTCTAAATTTCTTTTACAGTGTTGGAAAATTACATTCACCATTTCATCTTATGGCAACTTCAAGATGTAACCATGCAGTCAACCTATCCTTCAGGTAAGCACACAGCTCACAGAAGAGAGGGACTGAAGAGCTGAGTAACACTTTCAAAACAAAACGGAGAGCTTTCAAGATTTGTTTTGCACGTTTTGAGGTTTTCTTACAAACTTGTACCTTAAAGTATTTCAGTATGTGTACTGAGATAAATTACTTATACCTGTAGGACAGTGTGTGGTTTGGGACAGAAATCAGCTGAGTTTAAGCGGTTGAAACTGGCTTTTTCTGCTTTACTTCTGTGTGAAGCAAATTTTGCTTTGCTTTTTTTTTATTTTGCTTCTGTTGTGATACTGACGGATTGGAATACTCAGAAGCCTTTAGATAAAAGACACTGCAGCACAGTAGACTATGGTTGACTGATGCTTATTTACTTATGTTCAACCAGTGGCTTTGCCACAGACCTTTCGAGTGATCTCGCTCAATTAAATTAAGCCCTGTGTCAAATGAAAATACTGGAGATTACTTCCATTTTCTCTTTGCTGTCTTCTTAGCTTGTTGGGTATTTGATTGTAATATAGTGGTTGTCACATGTACAACAATGGCAAAAGGAAGCCCTGATCTTGAATGGGGTCTGTAAACAACACTGCAACATAACAAAGTTAGTGGTTTGACATGGTGATGCTAGAACTTGGTCTGTATATTTTAAGTAAGGGGACACCTTGTCCTCTATAGTCTGAGATATCCCCGGGTTGAGGAGTTTTAGTGAAATTGGCCAGGTGAGATCTGCTCCTTTGTATCAGGCCCAGTTCCTCCAGGCACTATATAAGCAGTATCTTGAGAATTTACGGGTATCAGAAACTGCCTTAAAGAAGATTTTTTGTATAGAGGAAATCTCTACTTTCTTAATGCTGCTGGTGAAGGCCCGCTTGTAGCAGTAGCTCTGCCATCCTCTCCTCTGAAGTGCCTTTCCTCCCCTTCTGCTGCTTTCCCAACCACCCATTGATGGGATTGGATGGGATGGAGAGCAGGAAGGGTTGCTGCAGAAAGGGGAGGCATGGTAGAGTCAAAGTCTGACATTCTTTATATCAAATTAAAATCAAGTGCTGTTATTTAAAGTTACCCTCCTGCCAGGTGTAGATTAGCCCAGGACTGAGCTGCTGAGAGTGTTGGGGACAATTTAAAAATTTAATTCAAACCTACCAGAATTTAAATTCAAACCATCTTTGATTTGCCTGCAAATGACCATAGCATCATTGGCAGCAGCTGTGCAGCCTGTGGGCAAAGTTCTGCTCTTTGCATGTCTGTGCCAGGAAAATGCTCCTTAGCCTGAGAGGAGGCACTGGGCCGTGGCTGTGCAGAGCTCTCCGCAGAGCCCCCTTGGCCCTGTGCGCGTGGACCGAGAATGGCTGTGAACTGCTGACTCGGTGCATGAGAGGGCTATAGAGAGATAGTCATATGTGGAACTATTTCATACTTGTCACTGTTTTGTGAAGTGTTTAATCATTCCACCACACATAATATATGGAATTAATAACGTCATGCGATGTCCTTTACACCTGAGCAGCTAAACAGGCTTTTTTTGGAATAACATATTAGGTATACAGCGTATGACCTTATATCACCTAGACACTGTCACACCAAAGCTTTACAGTTAAAAATTACAAGAAATATCTTGGACAACACAGGCATTATTTTAGAAACGTTAGGCACCCATTCTGTGTTCCTAGTACAATGTTAACTGGTTGTTTACAGCTAGATGCTGTTAACCAATCCAAATATTTTACAGTATGGGAAACATTCACTGCTTGCAAGTCTCTGTTTTCATATAATGTGCAGGTTATAGTTTCAGGAACAAGTCAGTGCCTACGAATGCTTCATATTACGTAAGTGAACCTCAACATCCAAGGCAATGCAGGTCGTGTTTTAACAGTTCTGATCTTACTATTTTTTACTTTTCTTTTCCCTATTAGGATGCTAAGAGATGCAGGCAATATTTTTTTGCTGCTAATGGTGCATAATAATTATCAGAAACAGAACTCCAGCAACAGTGTTACCAACACTAACATTTTGTTAGCTGAAGTATGTGTGCTTTGTTACTTCTTAAAATATATATGCTTGCATACGTATATAAAAATAGTCTCTCTTAATTATTGCAGAAATAGATAAGTTGCTGTTACTATCAATACTTCATGGATATTGTGGTAACAGCTGATTTTAGAGCACTGATGGTGGCAAACCAGTTCCACATTGAACCAAAGTTACACGTATTCTCAGGATACCAGTGTGGAATTGCACTGAACTCGTAGAGTTCTTAGTCCTCTAGCTCCCAGAGAGGACCAGGGTAGGTAATGGAAGGAACTTTATAAAGCAAGGGATTTCTGAGAAGAAAGTCACTCTGTAGCTGACTGCTAAAGTACTCAAGAGTCTGGCGCCTCTTGCGTGTTACAAATGGGTAGTTGGCATATTGCTCACAGTAGGAGACACGCAATATTGTTTCTGTCCTATTTCCCTCTTGATACGTGATGCCACAAAGACACCTACTTATGAGGAAGTTTGCTGCTTGGACATGAGTTGTGATAAGCATTTGCAACCTGAGGGGAATGGATGATAAAACCATACGCTTATGCACCAAAGATACAATAGGAAAGAGACAGTCTATCAGTCACGTGAATTGTGATTGGCCTGTTGCAATGGAATAGCCTTTAACAAAAAAAATGAAAGCTATTTACCTTCTGAATGGTTTTTACATAGTTGCACAAAAGGGAAAAGAAATAAGAAAAGAAGAGAGAAGAGAATAGAAAAGAAGAGAAAGGTTCCCACCAGCTCTTCCCCTCCAAAATTAGCATTGGCATTGGTGAAGTCACACACAAAGGAAAGTCTCACTTTCTTTGTGCCTCTCACAATGACATCAACATGCATGGCTATGAGATGACGAGAGAATACCTCACTCACAATGAGTAACAAATTAGAATTTTCTTCAAAGTAAAAAAATGATAACACAAGACCATCATAGGTATATGCTAGCTTTTTCCAAACATCTCTTTTTGACTAGATGTCAGTTAAAATCACTTGACTAGCGATCTGTTCTATCTAATACAACACAGGGGGATATTCTGAACAGGCTGAAGAATGTCTACTATGCAACTTGGCTGGAACATCTGCCAAAAATGAAGTTGGCTTTGTTTTCAACATGGTTATCTACTTTGAAATTACTCCATAGAATAAATAGTGATATTCCATGGGTAGAGGTAGATTATGGGGTTTAAATAACCAAATTGGAGCCCCGTAACTTTATGTGCTATAGGAGGATTCTCATAAAACTGAGATATTCCCATAATTAACCACTAGCCATGGGATATTATAATATATTCCATGGTGACTAGTATTTTTTCCATTTCCCTCCCCCCTCCCAGTAGAATTAGTATGATTAATTTTGCTCCGGTTTCACCTATTGCTAACATGAATCAGTATAATTAAAAATAAGAATGCCATATTATGAGGCGATCACTGTTTAGGCCAAACCAGCCAGTAAGGACCAGTCAGACCTTCTCCAGTTGGCCTTTGCTGCTAGAAGGTTGAAAGAGCTGTAACTCACCAACCCATACTTGCAAAAGGAGCATGTTTTAAAAAATGTGGTTCAAAACTCTTCATAGTTCTAAATGCTAAATTCTAGTGGAATATTATAGAATAGATTGATTTGCATGCCATGGAATAAACATCCTTACAGCTAGTCTTGTCTCAGAGTGAGTCATTTTGCGTTAGTGTCAAGAATTTGAGCTGTTGTTCTACTTTGCAGTTAATCGTCAGAAAGAGACGGGATTGTCTCATGAATATGCATGATGGCATAGTTGTCCCTTCAACTTACTAGGCACCTAGTTTCTGTAATGAGATGTACAATATCTGCCATTTAAAACAGCTGAAAGGTCCCAAATGGGAACAAATGAGAAAGCATCTGGCTGTTTCAAATTCCAGCCCTATTTTGTCAGAAAACACTGTAATTGCTGAGTACTTGGCTCCTACTCTGCTCTGTGAAGCATTCAGCTCTCAGGAGCCTCTGAGATGCATTACACAGTCCAGCAACATAGCTGTAGAACTCTCAAAATTCTTCCACTAGATGTAACAGCTCTTCAAAATATCTTGAGACTTGTATGCCCTTAACCAGGACCAAAGTTTGGGCTCCTAGAGCGTGCTCTCATCCTTAGTTTTGCACATCAGCCTCCACTGTACCATTTGTCCCTGCAACCTAGACTTCACACATATTATTCACTGTGTGATGGTGGGACTAGAATGGATAAATGTGCTACCCATTGCTCTAAGAAAGCAGTCTGGCTGAATCTTAAATCACTACGTGGGATGGAGGTTAACGGTCAGATGGACATTCCTCTAAGAGGTTTCCTACCTGCTCTGTTAATTTCTAAAATTTCTTCTTGGGCCAGTGGGCAAGTGTCGCTCTGAGTACTGTGGTGTGGAGAGTTTACGACAGATTTACAATAATTGGGGGATCCCAGCTGGGGTGGCCTCGGGATATGCTTCTTTTTTTTCTTTGGTAGCTTCTGCTTAGCCATAGCTAAGGAGTAATACATTCCGAAATTGTTCACAATGACAGGGACAGGCATGGCAATGGTCAGCACACCAGCGAGAGCACAGAGGGCCCCCACCAGCATGCCTGACCAAGTCTGAGGATACATGTCTCCGTAGCCCAGGGTCGTCATGGTGACAACAGCCCACCAAAAGCCGATGGGGATATTTTTAAAGTGTGTGTGTTCACTGGCACTAGGGTCATTTGGTTTAGCACCTATTCTCTCGGCATAATAGATCATCGTGGCAAAGATTAAGACGCCCAATGCCAAAAATATGATGAGCAGCAAGAATTCGTTTGTGCTGGCGCGGAGGGTGTGTCCCAAGACCCGCAACCCAACGAAGTGGCGGGTCAGCTTGAAAATTCGCAGGATTCGCACGAAACGGACTACACGGAGGAAGCCCAGGACATCCTTAGCAGCTTTGGAAGACAGGCCACTGAGTCCAACCTCTAGATAGAAAGGCAGTATGGCCACAAAGTCAATGATGTTCAAAGAGTTTTTGATAAATTCCACCTTGTTTGGGCAGAAAGTGACTCTCATCAAGAACTCAAATGTAAACCAGACCACACAGACACCTTCGATGTAGGTGAGAAAGGCTTCAGTCTCTGCTTCCCTGTAGTGCCGCACCTGGGTGTCATTCCCGATGAATTCAGTTTCTGTCTTGTTCACAATGGGGTTAAATCTCTCATGGGTCTCGAGGCAGAAGGTGGTGATGGAGACCAGAATGAAGAAGAGGGAGGCAAATGCCACATACTGTGGAAAGATAGATATGAGAGAAATGTTAAACAGTAGGTTAAGTACAGGGGCTTTGATTCTGAAACACCAGGGAGAGACAAGAGCCGTTTAAATCTCCGAGCTTTCTGTGGGATTTAAGGTTAAGGACATACTGAAATTCTACCTGCCTGAACTTGGTCTTCTGTTACTTCCTGGTCTTAAAGACAGAGCACAGCTTCTAGGACAACTGTCATGCAAGAGTCTTTTTGCAGCATTGTGTCAGTGGTATGGTGGCTGCCTCCCGCTCCCAGCTTAGTGACAGTTGTGGTAATTCAGATCTCAGTAAGCTGCTAGTAAATACTAGTGGCAGTCCCAAGTGGGCTCTACAGCAAGGAGCAGAATCCTGCTTGGCATCATCAGACTTTCTTGCCAAATCCCAGGGACAGGTTGAGGAACAGTCACATATCAAACTGAGCTCTCCTAGAGTAAACATCTCTGTTCTCAGTTCCCTTCTCCAGATCTTTTGGGGGTATGGAACAGGAAGGGGAAGAAAGAGGCTTCAGGTAAGCCTGTCAGCTGATCCAAAAGGAGACAGATCTGTTGGATTTTACCAGACAAAGTTTTCTTGAAGAGATTCTCATTACAATGTAAGACCTGTACCAGAACCAGATGAATCTTTTCTAAGGCTGTTGGATTACAATTTGGTTAATCAAGTTACAGTGAAGGTGGTAGTAACCCCCAAAGTCAATAAGTACTTATCTTAGAAGTATTTGCCTCTTCTGCTTCAGTTCCTGCTTTTCATAGAATCATAGAATAGTTTAGGTTGGAAGGAACCTTTAAAGGTCATCTAGTCCACCCCCCCTGCCATGGGCAGGGACATCTTCAACTAGATCAGGTTGCTCAGAGCCCCGTCCAACCTGACCTTGAATGTTTCCAGGGATGGGGCATCTACCACCTCTCTGGGCAACCTGTGCCAGGGTTTCACCACCCTCATTGTAAAACATTTCCTCCTTATATCTAGTCGGAATCTACCCTCTTTTAGTTTAAAACCATTCCCCCTTGTCCTGTCACAACAGGCCCTGCTAAAAAGTCTGTCCCCTTCTTTCTTAAAAGCCCCCTTTAAGTATAGAAAGGCTGCCATAAGGTCTCCCCGAAGCCGCCTCTTCTCCAGGCTGAACAACTCCAACTCTCTCAGCTTTTCTCAAACTTTCCTCAGCCTAAAGAAGATCTCTTGGTTGTATTCCAGGATAATTGAGGGGTACAGTCAGGCCAAAATTCACAACTCTTGTAACCACAGTTCCTCTGCTCAATCCTCTTTTAATCAATTAAGTAGTTTGCATATATCTAAGAAGTCTCTTTGTGTGTAGGAGTGGTACAGTAATGGTAATACCTCTTTCCATTTCACTCCCTACATCTGTTATCTTCCTGTTTGTCTTGTGTGTCACCTTGGCAAGAGACGTCACGTAAGATATTATTTCACTGTCTTCATGAGCATAAGCAGCTGTGGTAATTAAAATATTATTCAAATATTCTTGTAGTGTCCTGTTATTCATAATGTCCCTTTTTCAGCAGTGTAGCCAAAATAGGGGTTAAAAAGAACTAGTTTCTTCTAATTGTCTGTAGCCAGTAAATGCAGTGCAATAATCTAAAAGAAATTGTTAAAAATAACCTATGTGCTTCAAGCTACTGAAGCTCTCCTGCAATCAAGAAGTTCCTCCTGTCTGCTTTCCTGGGTAGACCTAGTACAGAATTACACTTGACCTTCCATATTAGCAAACAAAGTCAAAAGCAAGGATTTGCCACAGTTTGAGGTGAACCATTTCATAGAATACAGAGAAACTGGCAGAGAATAAAATCACAGAATCTTTTAGGTTGGAAGGGCCCTCTGGAGGTCGTTTGGTACAACTTCAAAGTTGGGCCAGGTTGCTCAAGCTCTTGTCTGGTCCAGGGCTGAATATCTCCAAGGTTGGAGATTCCACAGTCTCTCTGGAACGCCTGTGCCAGTGTTTGGCCAGTAAGAGCACATAAGCTTGGAAGGATACAGAAGCAAACAGGCTCTTTTGCTTTTCAAATCCAATTTTGTTGCCAAAGAGATCAGAACCTAGCCATTGTCACAGATTTAAAAAAACCCAGTACATTCCCCTAAATGCTTCAGGCTATCATAGCATTGTTATGTGATGATCTAATATACGTGCTGATATGTGCTAAAATCAATGTATAATATAAATAGTTGTCTGGAAGATAAACAATCTGGAGGTTAGTGAAATTTAGAAGCAGGACTGCAGGTATCTTTTTATCAGATTCTCTTGTTAAACAGGGAAATTTCTCCATGCACAGTTCCTCCATCTGTAAAATAGGTTAAAAAAAATACCATCTGGTGTTTGTCATGTGCTTTGTGATCCTAGATAAATATGTACAGGTTCTATATGCTTTCATTTTAATGTTACTGACTTTAGTATATCAACAGTCTCCCTGAAAAATAAGTTGAAGAATCTTTTATGTGGTCAAAGTCAGTTTGTGTATGATACTGTTAGCACTCAGAGCTTAATTAAGTAGAGGTTAATACCCCTATTGTCTGAATATGAGTAAAATGAGAAACAAAAAGCATCTTGCACCAAGAACTCAGGAAAATGTTCCTAGCAGCCTCAGCATGTCTGCTCTATTTCAGCCTGGAGCAGATTTTTACTGTAGAGTTGTAGAGCCCTGAGAATTCAAGCTGCAGAAGGAAACGCTGACACTTTGTTAAGTCAGGTAGCTCTCACAGATAAGAAGCAGAGAGGGGAATAAAACCATTTTGCATTTTAAGGGGTCTGTGAAGAAGGCCCCTTTCTTTATGCTGACTCAAAATGCAATTCTTCTCTTGGTGTGCATGAATATCTCTCCGGAGTGAGTTTTTCCTGCTTAGAACAACCTTCCGGCTGACCTTGCACAGCAAGTATCTTGAAAAGTGATGTTTTGCTGTATTAAAGGGAAGAAATAATGAATTCTGACAGGACATTTAAGTTCTCTGCAGCAGTACATGCTAGCAGTGTTATCAGTAGAGAACATCACACCCATGATCTCTCTTGCTGTTAGCCCTCGTGTGTGCACACCTTGGCTTCAGAGGGGAATTAAGAACTTTTAGTCCCCAGTTCAGCAGAGCAGGAAGCACCTGCTAAATGAGCGTGAAGCGTTTGCTTCATTTTATCTGTACTTAACAACATCCAGCGCTCTTTCCCAGGGATGGGCATGTTCTTGAATGCTTTGCAGCTTTGGAAGTGTGGGTCTGCTTTCAAGATTTCATAAAACCATGTCTGAGCAATGGTACTGATAAGAAGAATCCCAGTATTTCTTCTCCAAATTAATTTTTTTTTTCTCTGTTGAATTACTGTCTAATCCTAAAACCTATTTTATATTTGGGAAGTAAAAATGTTCCTTAGTCATTCCATGCTTCAATATTGAAAGACCCTTGTTTTTTGTTTTAGAAGAAAGACTGCACAGACTGGAAGGAGAAGACAATGGAGAGCAGCCTGTTAATAAAGGTCCCATTACAATTCCCCAGTCCCTTGGCTGATCCAAAGAAGTGCAGAAATGCCTGAGAATCAGGCCTGACAATTTGTTCATTGGCACCCATCTCTGATAGATTTATCACCTCCAGCTGCTTGGGATGCAGAAATTCAGCCGCTCGCCGCAAAGGAATGCGTAATATATCATTGGCATAGATTTATGTTTGTGATCCCCAATTTATATTGCCCCCACCCCTTTTTTCTTCTGAATATTTTTCTTTGTTAATTATCTGATATAAGATCTAGCAAGCTGTAAGCAAATTCCAATAGCACCAAATTCAGTGAGTGTGTTTTTCTAAGGAGACCAGCACTTATTCGTGCCAAAGGGGTTGAAAAAAGAGCTCTCTCTGGCCCATCGGCAGAGGCCAACAGAGATCAGCCATCATGCCATCAGCTTGTCAAGTCCAGAGATGAGCAATGCTGGTAAAATCTAGTGAAGACTATGGGACCCGTATGTGTTCTAATGTCTTTGAAAATAAGGCTATCTCTTTTTATTTCACTAATAATGGCCTGAACACTAATCAAACCAGTGGATTGCTCTTGTATTATTTAGTGATTCTTAATCTTCTTTCTCCTTACATTTTACTACAGAATTTCTCTTCTTCCTAGGATCTGAATGGGCTGGGGGAAAGGAGTGAGGATTTTATGAAGTGATGTCACATGCTGTTGAGTTACATAATGGAAGCTAAAATTTTCTATAATCAATGAAAATACCTAGGTAAAGTGTTTGAAGTGATCAAAACTCTTTTATCTGCTTTGACACACGTGAATGATTCCTATTTCACTAGAGATGCTGCTGCCATTGCTTTTTTCTGGCTCTAATACCAACAAAGAAAAATCTCAGATGGTCCAAAACCACAGAAGCTGTAAGGGAAGGCAGAGAGGAGATTTTAAAAGGGAATATTTTCATTAAAATATAAGTTACATTAAAATGTCTTCATTCTGGAGAGAGAAGTTACACTCCTGCATAATTTCTGCTAATAGTGGATATATTTTAATAAGGTTATTTTGAAAGAGTCTAAAAGACGTCATGCCCGTAAGTGGAGAACTTCATGATCTAATTTATATTGCCTCTGATTAAATCTATCTATCTTTCTATCTATCTATCTCAAAGGCCTGCTTCTCCACTGCGCTATGTCTAACCTAGCCATTTTTGCCAGTGCAGTGTGAATATGAAGAGCCAATTAATTCAGAATAGTAGTGTTTCACATCAGCTTTGCATAGCTGTAAAAGGAGCAAGGTAACAGAATCAGACCTAGCCTCTCATGAATAATGAGCCAGTATCTTTCCACTCAGCATGGAAAGAAAACAGAAGTCCAACAGCCTTAAAAACACAAATAAACTTTCCAATACATGAGGATTAGGAGGCTAGGCTCACTCAGAAAAAAGGTCTGAGGATTGGACCAGACAGTATTAAACACACTGTGGCTGTTTACTTCTGGGAATCAGTTTTTAAAACAGCACCTTACCTTGCATTTCTGAGATAGTTCTGTT